AAGCAAAAACAAAAAAAAAAAAAAAAAAAAAAAGAGATTAAGAAAGAAAGAAAGAAAGAAGGCACATAGAGTGAGAGATACCTTCATCAATGAATGCCTGGAACTGCTTGATGGCATCCCGGGAACCAACCCCCATTTCTTGTTCTTAAATTCTTACTTCACTTTTTATTTAAACTATTACTTCAAATGGGAAACACACCTTGAAACAAAAGGAAGAAGAAAAGGAGAAGGTTAAACTATATATATAAGAAACAATAACAAGAACTCATAAATGAAGATTCAACAAAGGCGGGCCTCTTCTTCCCACCAACAAATTCCACCCTTTCTTTCTCTCTTTTTAAATTCTTTTTCTCCTAACTTTAATTATTTGCCTCCACTGCTTTTTTTCTTTCTTTTTTCTGATACCAATATATTAATTTAAAAAAAAAAAAAAACTTCGTAGTTCAGAATCTCATGAGAAATTCAGATACCAGACACTTTTCAAACAGTAAAAATACTTTTCTTTTCTTGAGTCATTTTTCTGTTTATGGTAAGCCGTTTTTTTTTTATCAGTTAGTTATAATTATAATTATTATTTGTTGATGAGTGATTGCACCGTTGATCTTAGTGGACCCACGCCTCGATCTGTTTTCAGCCGTCAAATTTTAACTTTTATTTTTTGGGAGTTTGTATATCAGTATATGTATGGTAAGATGGAATATGGTTGTTAGAATGACTCCAAATTTATGATGCCTTCATGCGCTTGCGGACAGTGGGAAGATGGATCCGGGTCCGCGGATCGGTCCGCGGATCGGTCCGTAAGCTCGCAAATTTTGTAAATAATGGACTTATTTTTTTTAAATCTGTATAATTATGTTTAATTTTTGAGTCCGGTAAGTGAAGTTCGCAGATTTGACGAATTTAATTCGCAAGCTTGCATGTTAGTCCGCAAACTTCACTAATTAATATTTTTAAATATTACGATTTTAATATTAAGTTGTGTATTTAATTTTTTAAATTACTATGACATTAAAATTATGTTTAGTTGGTATGTATTTGTCATTTAATTATTTTTATGACATTTTGATGTTTTTATTATTGAAAGTTTAGTACTATTATTTAAGTATTTGTAATTATTTTTATTTTAATATTTATTATTTTAAATCATTTTAAATATTGATAAATTTTAGCTTATAAATAAAAAAAAAATTTTTTCTTCTAATTTTATGTATTTTTATTTTTAAAAAAATTATTTTTTTAACTATTAGTTAGGCTCGCGGACCGGTCCGTTATCCGCGAATTTTGGCGGGCGGATATGGACTTAAAAAGTAAGTCCATTTATTTTACAGAACGAACTTATCCGGCCCGTATAAAACACGTGTTTTACGGACCGGGCCTTGAACAGACAGGACCAGTCCGTATACCCACCCCATGGCCCACTCAGTTAAGGCCCAATACGTTGACGCTCTTTTTACTTTTATAATCCTTTTATACCATTTTATCTATTTATATATATATATATAATTATCATACTCTTTTATTTATATATATAATTTTAAATACAGGGAACATAAAGTTAAATAATAACTCTCTAATTCTTAAAAAGAATATGAAATCTTCAATGTTAGCTACATACTTATTAGTATATTCACATTTTTTTTAAATGAAAATACTATTTCTGATATTGATTATAGAATAGAATGAAAATAATATATTGTTTTTTATTATCCTTAGAAATTGATATTTTAATATTTACAATATTAATTGTTTTTAATTTTAATTATTTTTATATATTTTTTTGTTTCAACTACGTATATTTTTAAGTTAATTATCGTTCAATCTACTTTTTACATATTAAAATTTAATTTCTTTCAATATACATATCCTCTACAAAACTACAACTATGTATACTTATCATGCTTCTTCATTTTATTCTCTCTAAGTTATTAGGTCCAGATTCTTTTATATAAATTATGCATATTTTTACAATTTACTCTCCAAGTATTTTTTAAAGTTGTATTTAAAATTGCATTTACAGATTTTAAAAATTAGTCTAATACACGAGCGTTATACTTTGTAGTTAAGAAAGAAAAAAAAAAGACTTCAAACGTCATTATTTTCAGCAGATAAAAAATATAACAATAAGTAAAAGGCCTTTTTTCCAAGGTATGAGTCATGTTATTGTGATATGTTGTTGCAAATTGGATGATGGATGGACCTCCAACAATACCATGCATTGGCTACTTAAGACCAAGTGATTGTATGATCATGCCCCACCCACCAATTAATTGACTTGTTAGAATCATGCACTGTTGTCAAATTAACAACACGAAGGAAAAAAAAATAAAGTGAGGGGAAAAAAAACAGAAAGAAAAAAGGGTTAATAGTACGCATGCATGCACCTAAAAAGTAAAGGCCAACTAAAAGCACGTTATAAGATTAAGATAGCTTCAAGTAAAACTTCATATGAAGCAATCAATTCTGAGCGTGGTTCCAAGTGAAAGTTACACCATGTTGTTTCCGAATTAACGCGAATCCCCACTGATAAATCGTTAAGGCAACACATGTTTAGTTCTACGTGAAATTCATTCTACATCCAAAATTGATTATGAATTAAGAATAACTATTAGTCATTTTTTCGTTGTAAAAAATTTATATTATGTTAATTATAAAAACATATGAACATGAATGAGATCTGATCATCAAAATCAATTCGAACACGCACTTCTTATCTTCAATTTCTTTATGATCAGTGTGTATGGATCGGTGCCCTTTTAAACATTTGAACATGTGTCCTTCTCATAAATTGATTTACATCATTCATCCTTTGGAATATAGCACTAAACTTCTCTTGCCCCACACATTCATTATCATCACTGCATGTCTCTTTATGAATTAATGTTCCTTTTCATCATATACGACACGTTAAGGACGAGTTCTAAGTCATGACATTCTGTGCTGACGTTTTGACCTACTTATGGTGAATTCAAATAACAAATAATTATTTTCATAATTTTAAAGGCTAAAATTGATTTTTGGGTATTATCTAAATATATTATATATAATTATCAAACTTCAAAGAATTGAAATTTTTAATAGTTGTTGGAAAAATTAAACAAAATAAAACTTAATATCAAAATGTTTAAAGATGTTGAAAAAAATAATTAATTATCAAAAAGTAATTATAATTTAGAATAAATTACACATTTAGTTACTCTATAATTATAGGATTACTTTAAATTGAATATATATGGAATCACTTGATTTTATATTTATGATTTTCAAAATATTAACAAAAGAAGATCAACTTGTTGAAATGTATATCTTTTAAAATTATTTGTGTTCATTTCTTCTATCTTTGAACTAATGACAATCACGATATTACAAATGAGATTAATTTGTGATCCGTAACTAGCAATGGCATGACAAAAATTAATATACCTTTCAAAGCCTTGATCTTGACTCTTGCATTTGTGACAGAAGTGCCGGCCTATACACGATATTGGATCATGACTGAGTCTAAGAGAAGCGAAGTCAAATAACGTAGGATTTGGATCAAAAAATTTCAGTGGGAAACTAGATCAGAATCGGGAAAGCATAGAAACTTCCTACGAAACAAATGACAAACGTTGTACTCATTCACATTCTGCAGTTTCAGTATTACAGATTTAAATTCATCTGTGCCAAAACGTTGACAGATCCAAAGGAAATAAATCAGTCAAAGATATTTTTTTGGATGGGAGGAAATGATGCAATATAAATCTAGTAGAATAACAAAGCTTGAATAATTTAAAGGAAGACTTGTCATATAAAATTTTGATGTCACAACGAGTACGAACACTTTTATACGGTGCAAATTAGTTATGAGGGTGATATTGAAATTGGAACCATGCAACCACGTCATTGACTCTTTGGGAACTTTGAATCAATAATGGGGGATATAAATATATGCAACCATTCTCGTCATACATTTTGACTTTTCATAACTTGGCGTGGAATGCCACAATTCTCAATCGTTTGTTTTTTCATTCAACAAACCAATGCAACAAAAACAATAAAACAATGTCCTTTATAACCTGTTTGAACATGAGAATTTTATTTAAATGTTCATATATTCAATCAAATTATGAAAACTATAAATAATTATGCCTAAATTTTACTGAAAAATGCTTCTTCAATAACTTTTTTATATATGCATCGGATTCGAACTTTACTATAAGATGTTTACAACTATTAATGTATATTTAATTGATTGAAAACAACTTTATATAAAATAAAAATTTTATTGATTCAACCATCAATTTATAATTATATATTATTTAATTTTTTATGTCTAATTTTATCGTAAATTAATAATAATAATAATAATAATAATAAGGTATAATATAATTATTTATATACAAATCAAATGATTCATATTTAAATATATCTTACATTAATTTTGATGTATATAATGAGACATCAAATAATATTTAATTAATATAAATTTTGTAACACGATCCGTATGAAATAAACTTTAAATATGGGGATTAGTTTTAAGATAAAATTATTCACTTAAAAATAATTAAATAATATAATAATATTTGTATTCATATAAATCTAAGTCAATAAACGAGATTTATAATATTATTTGTTAATATTTAATTTATAATAAAGAGTGTATTAGACTAGGATTTCAATGAATTTTTTTTTAAAAAATTATTATGAAAAGGTGTTGTGGTATTTCAATAATACTTTTTTAATATAAAAAAGTTATGTGATATATAATTAGAATTTTTTTAAAATTCTGTCAAAATTTGGTGTGTTCAATTAAAATAATCATAATTTTTTTTAGAAATCCATCTAAATTTAGTGATATTTTATTAATACTTTTTTAATATAAAATTAAAGTCATGGATATATAATTAGAATTTTTTTAAAAGTCCGTCAAAATCTAGTGTATTCAATTAAGACAATCAGAATTTTTTCTGAAATTCATCTAAATCTTGTGGTATTTAATTGAGATTTTTTTACTTAAAAAAATCTATTGATATTCAACAATATAGAAATTTCAATGAATTATTTTTAACAATAGATTTTATATAAAAAAATTTAGTATAATTTACATATAATTCATTCATCAAATAATTTCATTAAAATATTTGAGATTTCGCATGACAATTTTCTTTTTTTATTTCTACTCTTCTTTTTTTTTTTCTCGTCATTCATGTTTCTCTCTCTTTTTTTTTCTCAATTTCATTTTCTCTATTTTATTTTCTTCTTTTTTTATTTATCTTTTTTCTTCTTCGTCTCATATTCTTTTTATCTCTTATTTTTCTTTCTCTTTGTTTTTCTTTATTTTCTATCTCTTTTCTCTCTTTATATTCATCTCTCTCAATCATCTCTTATTCTTCTTTGAGTATATTTCTTTTAATCTATCAATTAATGTATAATTTATTAATATTTATTTTTTAATTATGAAATATTTAAAATGAATTTTTATTATTAAATATTATTTATTGTTAAAATTTTAAAATTATTAAAATTTAACCATTTAATAAAATTTAATATTAAAATATAAAATTTTGAAACATATATTAAATAGACTTTATAGGTCAAAGTAATGACCTTCAAAATAAAAATGAAAATTTCAATTTACATCACACATTTTTAAGAAATGTGTAATTGAGAGGATAATAAGTATTTTTAAATTACGCTTCACAATTTTTAAGTTATGCTCTCTATTTCTATTTAAGATATAAGTTGAATTTATAATAACATGTAGCACTATATAATTTTCTTTGTAAAGAATTTCATTATAATAAAGACTATAATTTTGAATATATTGTTTATACTCAAGTGCATCAAAAAGAATATTTCAATGTATTAAGAATTAGTATAATTTAAGATATGTGAATAAATGTCAGTTAGAAGGACATTAAAATCAATTATTTGTCAAAAAGATAGAAATAATTATTTGTCAAAAGATAAAAATTTATGTTAATTTTATTTTTCTTTATTATTTATTTTTATATTTTTTTTATTAAATCTTATAGTATTACAAATTCATATTTTCATTTGAAGTCCATATAATTATTTAAAATTTTATAATATAAATTCATCAAAATTCATTAAAATTTAAATTAGAAAGTCTTGATTAAAATTTAAATTTTTTTAAAAAAAATTTAAAAAAATCATGACATTCTTCTAAAATATTTTAAAATTTATTAAAACTGACAAAATATTTTCATACTAAGATTATCTATCAAAATCTCAATCTAATAGATGTCTGATTAACCGAATTACACCGTCTCCAAAAATAACATATATAAATCACATCAACCTAATTTACGGTATATAGAAATTGTTCAGCTCCCAGTACCACATGTGGCTGCTTAGTGCATTTGTTAGTCTTTTTTTTTTTCTCTTCCTTTTTTACCTTTTCTCTCATTCTTTTAAGCACGTGTTCTCATCAACTTAATACTAATTTATGGGTTTAATAACACTTTTTTTTTCTCACAGAAATATTAAGGTTTAACTAACTCTTCTTTGGAATGGGTCAAAATAGGACCATTTCACGTGTATATGTATATTGTAAAAATAATACATTTTTAAAACAAATATTTATGTACATATTTACTAATACAAAATTTAAAATTGATTGACAAATTAAAAACATTAAAAATTTGTAAATTCAACAGGTGCGACGAGTTACTACAGTAATTTTACAAATAGAAAAATAAAATTAAGCCGGTTAGTCAAGATTAAAAGAAGTCAAAGTTGATGTTTCCGATTAGAGATGACCAAACATATATGTTTCCTAGTTTAAGATAGATAGTTTTTGTTTTTTTTAAGATTTTCCAGGATCTGCAAAACATAATATTCTGCCAAAAGTAAAAATATCCTTCCTTCACATGGCAGGTATATTGATTGAAACAGCAAAAAGAACAAACCTGCGTCATAAGCGTTTCTTTCATACTTTGCAATAAAATTTTCATTCATTCGCTTCGACCTTATAAAGGTAGGTAGAAAACTCTCTCATCATAGTTTATTACCTTGATAACTGAACAACATGTGATGCATGTAAATTCTTGTATTGTCTTCTAGTAAGTTCTAAACCCATGGACAACTATGGCTATAGAAGCAGCAGCGTGTGTGAGATAGAGGAGGAAGAAGACGACAAGCATGATAATAAGGCTATTGGCACCATTCACGGTGAAGAAGAAGATTGTGTTTATGTAGCAGTTGGCAAGAGCCACACTAGCATGGACGCTCTCTCTTGGACACTCAAGCAATTGGCCACCCAATCTACCATCATACACGTGTTCCCTCAGATCAACCACATTCCTAATCCATGTAAGTTGTAACAATTTCACTCTTTCTTCAAGCAGATATTCAAATATAATTTGCACATGGATCTAAAGATGTTTCTGTGTGATGACAGTGGGAGTAGGAATGATTCCAAGGAATCAAGTGAGCGGTGAGCAGGTGGAGAGTTATATTGCACAAGAAAGGGGAAAGAGGAGAGAGCTCCTTCAGAAATTCCTACAATCCTGCACTAATTCCAAGGTACCAATGGAATCAAACCCTTATTCAATATTCCATAGAAATTAACCAAGAAATAAAGCAACAAAATTATTCAGAACAGGTTAAGGTAGACACCATCCTGATTGAGAGTGACTTAGTTGCAAAGGCCATCCTCGACCTCATTCCCATTCTTCAAATAAGAAATCTAGTCATTGGAGTCAACAAAAGGTACACTACTCTGACCATAGCAAAAGCATTATTTAATTCATATTTGAGCAATCACATTTAATTTGGATGAACAGAAAATCAAAATCAAGAAAAGGGAATAGCATAGGCGATCAGATACTGCAGAGTGCACCACAAAATTGCAAGGTGAGAATTATTTGTGAGGGGAAGGAAGTAAATGAGAAGAGGATGTCACCCTCTCCACAGGCTTTTACCACTCGCACCTCTGCTAATGATAATTCCATAACTAACAAAAAAGAAGATCAACAACATGATTCTGTTTCATGCAGCATTTGTTTCATACCAAAGTTTAAATGATTAGTGTGGTTGAATTGCGGCAAGGTCAAAGGGATGTGGCTCATTCAAGTTCTTTGACTAGTAATGAATTATTTTGAGATTTTAATAATGAAGATGAAAATTTAGTTTACCAATACAGAGTTTGGTTGGGCTGCTAATAATGATTTTATATTTTACCGATGGTAGTCCTAAACCCTATTGTAATATAAACTGTAAAGTTAATTGGGTCCATTATTTGTGAAAAAATAGGGGGAAATTTTCACTTTTATATATAGCAACGTTTTTAGCTAGAAGGAAACTAGAATCTATGTGTAGAATCTCAGTGTAATGTAGAGAAAAGAATGAGAATTTTGCTTTGCTACTGACTAGGTTTTTTCTCCCCAATGTTGCACATATTGTATTATGAGAAATTTTTTTTTTGGGTTAAGTTATAAATAAAAATTACGAGATTAAAGACTTAATTATATATTTTTTAATTTAGAAAATTAAAATTTTCTAAATAGTTCAGGAATCTTCGACTCAAATTTTAGAACCAAGTCAAGTTATGGGAACAAGATCTACTCTCTCATTGAATATCAAACGGAAACTCTAACCCATTAGATATTATTCACATCGTAAGTCTAAATATTAATTCATTATTATAATTAAAATACCATAATATTACTTTTTATAATTTAAAGTAATTTAATTATTAAATAATACTAATAATCCACACAACATATATAATTAACGAAAATCCTAACAGTTCTTGGATGACGTTTCTCATGGATCGAACTAGTCTTGATATTCCATTAAACTTTGTTTTGTTGTTTTCCTTACCCTTTGCATTTGTTCTTTCACCCCTTGTCAAATATGATTTTTGTCTGTATAGAATGGCGTTTCCTAGCCAAAATACAGTTTACGTACGATCTTTTCCGAATTGTTATCTTGGTTACGTCAAGATGAACGGCAATTTCTGTTATCATTGTAGTGTCAAAAAATAATTATTTTAGTGTTACGTAATCTCCCTTATACGACAGCGAACGCATCGATAATAAAAATATTGTTCATATATATTATCTAAGCATATGTGATTTGACTTTGTTGGAGATATGTGTCCCAAAAGGCATATTCGCTCATGGTTCTCACTTGTGAAGTAATATACATATATATATATATATATATATATATATATATATATATAATATTGCTATCATAATTTACGCAATCCATACTCCAAATTTAAAATAATTTTCATGAAAAAG